AATTCAGTTTTTATATAAATAAATCATTGTAAATTTAGGCACATACATAGATGCTTTTATACTTTGTTTAAATTACTTTTATAAAATAAACAAATTGAGAAATCTAGTATTTGGCATTATTTTATTACGATCAAATTATTGTAATTATTTATGCCATAATTCATTAATTAAGACAATTAATCATTTTTTGTACAAAAATAATTGCATGTTACATATTGTAAATGCATTATTACTGATATTAATATATAATTATGATTTCAAGGCTTTTAAGTTCAATTGACAAATATAATTAATATACAATAAACACATTTAAACAATTGTTAAGCACACTTTAATGATGTCTTGTTTAAATGCTAATTGATAAAAATTTTGAATTGAATATAAAGTTTAGTATTTCTACATTTATAGATGCATGCACATTTTGTACATTTTGTATTAGCAAAAATAATAGACATCTGTAAATAACCCCATCAAGGTCCACAATTTAAACACTTAATTGTTTAGTACAAGCATTAATATAGGATTTAATATTGCCTGTGTCTATTCAGCCATGGTGATAACTAGTGACCAAGAGCAATTCTTGTTTTAAATGTTTGTAAAATAAATATAAAGTTATTTTATTTTATCTTGTAATTAATAGAAATTATAAAGCTAATTTTAAAACTAAATTAATATTAAAAAACTTAAAATAAAGTAGTCTTTAAAACCTATTATGTGTTTCCCAAACGGGAAATATCAGGTGTCAAACGAAGTTATTATTATATAAAAAATAATCTATATCCTATTTAATCCATATAAATAATAAAATTTGCTGAGATAAACAGACTATGTAATTTTTATATTAATGTACAGTCTATTGTAATATATTGACAATACAATATTGTCCACGATTCCGTTCAGGTAAAATTTTTAAAATGTTTAATTTAATATATTGTAATAATTTAACATAAAAATTAACAATTTTTTATTACGTTTTTATTACTTCATCAATTAAATTACTTTAATAGATATATAAATATTATCAAAATGTTAATATAAAACATTTATGATATGGTTATGGACTGGAAAGACCGCCGGCATTATAAACAAGGCCGCCGTCGACCACCAGATTAGCCGCAGTTATAAAACTGGCCTCTTTTGAAGCCAGAAAAACAACCGCTCGGGCGATATCCAGGGGTACGCCCGGCCTTTTTAACGGTGTCCGAGCGATTACCTCCCTGTCTACCTTGTCAATCACATCGGGGTCAGTGTGGTTGATGAAATTGGTCAATATTAATCCCGGACTATTAGATGGTGTGAAAAAATAAAGCATTTATTAATTACTTATAATTCAAAAGTTTGAAATATTTAAATACTTAATAGTGTTGACACGAATCCTGGGGCCCAACTCCAGGGCCAGTGTTCTGGTCATCATATCGACACCTGTTTTGGCCACTTCGTACGCCAGACCTCCCGGGGTCTAAATTAAATTTAAATGTACATGCAATTAACCATGGTAATAATTATTACAAAGTGTACTTCATATTAATATAATATACCGGTAGTGTTGATGAAGTACTGGATATACTAATGATAGTGCCATTGGTTTCGTCCAAATAAGGGACCGCCAAATGGGTTAACTCGAGATATGCCCTGAGATTGAGTGCCACCGACTGATCAAATTTGGTCATAAAATCTGGCGCCCGAAATGACCCGTAAAAGCCGGCGCCGGCGTTGTTCACCAGTATATCCAGTTTGCCGTAAGTATCAATAGTTTTGCTTATCAAACGGTTTAGATCAGCCGATTTGGTCACATCTGCCACTATAGCCAACGGCTGTTATAATAATAATTTTATGTTAATAAATATGTCACATAATAAAATAAGCCTTAATATCTTTAAATAATGCTTAAACTGTTAAAGTTCATTGTATATCATAAAATATATAAGCTAATACTTACAAGTTAAATAAAATAATTATATTTGTTTGTAATAATATAATTTAAATAAAACTTAAGATTTTTTACTAAACACTTGAATGTAATAATTATTTTAAGAGTTTCACCTTTAATTTCAATGGTGACAATTCCTGGGCCTCTTCAGCCACGCGCTGCACTTCATTGGCCTTCCGTCCGGTGACCACAACATTGGCGCCCAATCGAGAGAACAGTTTGACAATTCCTTCACCGATGCCAGAGCTGGAGCCAGTTGTCAACACTACTTTGCCGGTAAAGTTTCGGCCCAAACCTTCTTGACTATAATCTTCGTCATTCAAATCATAATAGATGTCAGACTTTACTATCGATACGAGTAGTACCACCGCTAGTGAAGAGCACAATGTTTTCATCATGTTTGAAAATTTTAATATAATTTTATTTGAGTATGATAATTGAAGTTAATTAATACTTTTAATTAAAAATTTATTGTTTTGTCTCTTTTTATACTTTTATTTGTTGGGCACAAATGTATACATAGATAATCCGTACTGCTAACCTTGCTAATTGCAGTATATAAGCAGTGATGCTCCAAAACGGCCTTGATAATACATCAATATACCATCATAAAATATAACTGTAGATTAAACATGTAAATTAAACAAGTACATAATGTAGTATATTTGCTATTAAATTAATCTATGCACTCAGTAAACGCCCATCATGAGTATTTAATAAAATTTCAAAAATAATTAAATGTGTATGGTTAATATTTGCTTTTATTGATAATTATGAGTGCCATTAATACTTGTACACAAAATTTTTGAGCACAAGTTTAGTACACCCGGTCTCACTTACAACGGACTTTGTTAATACTTATCATAGGTATTACAAATGATTATGATTGATTTATAAAATAGGCAATAGATACATTGTAATTGTAACGTGTAAACATGAGCAAGGTGCATCACATGCCTGTAGGCGCACTTTATGAAGCCATCAATCTGATTTCTAATTAGTAATTACTGTAAGTTTTAGTCTAATACCGACAAATTATTTTAAGCCCCCATTCAATAAACAGTTGATGTATTTCGGACAATGGATTTCTAAAATGTAGTTAATAATATTAGCGCAACTGTATATGTAATTTCTGGCCTTATATTTGTATGGGATATTTGCATTAATCATTCACCCAATTATCTTTGTGGGTCCTATATTTGTGATTAAGTTGCCATTATTATATCGATGCAATAACAATAATATTAACAATTAGTTATGTTTATAAAATCAATTGTTTTGCACTAATAATCATTTGTGATAAGTACTAATTGGGAGCGTTTAGACTTAATTTGTGCTTAATAATAAATGTAAAATATACTGTAATAGATATTAACAAATTTCTATATTAAATGCAATTAAATATTGTTTGTAAAGTATTTCAATATCACGATGTAAATTTTAATGAACGTATATTATATTGACAAAATTAAAATTTAATTAATTAATATTATTCGTTCATTAACAGTATAAATTTTCATTTGTATATATTGTTATATAATTTTGTTATACCCACTATTCTCCGCCTATTCCCAACTATTGCCCCAATTGTAACCCCACATAACACACACACAGACACTAAAACTAGACTTATATAACACATTGTAAACCCAATATACTTAGGAGTTGCCCTTCAGACCTAGAGCTGGTATGTAGTGCTAGGTCTAAGGCTTACACAATAGGGATGTATGAATGCAGTGCTGAGGAGTGCTCAGTGCTCTGTAATTACATAAGGACCAAATAAACAGTTATTTCATATCTAAATTGTGTTTTATTTAATTAATAATAAGCAACCCCGACTCAGCCCACATAATAGAGAAATTCCCGTAGAATAGGGTTTTTCTATAACAATATATTATTTTAGAACAATTAATGTTTATAAAAATATTATTTAATGATAATCTTAAATTAGTAAAATGTTTACGTATTGTTTTCAAATAATGTTTTATTTAAACCTCATTTAATGAATATCTATTTCATCAAATGTAAAATATAATAATTGTCATAAGAATTATTAAATAATTATATTTAAATATTAATGGAAATACCACGTATACAATTATTATAAATATAATTATTAATAAAGTTGTGATAATAATCCGTATTCTTGATAACGACTGAAGTGAATGATACGAATTACAACAACATTTCACAAATATAATTGCATAAAACACATCATGCAATGTTTGATAGTTTGAGTCACTTTATAGATTACAATTTTAAACAAAATAATTTAGATAATGATATTGTGAACAATATATTGTGACCAAGTTCCTAAACGATATTTAGCATTTGAATAAAGGTAAAATGTACACTTAAAATATCATTCAATATAATAACAGGCCTTTCATCCAAACGGAGTGTCGTCCAAACGGAGGGTAACTCCCTCTCCCATACATTACGTCCAGTATATCACAATCAAAGCACATGTCATTGAAAGCAACTGTTTCTCCCTACCCCTCACATCATTTATGGACACTACTAAAAATCATTTGTACAGCTAATAAAGAGACTCCGTTTGGATGACACTCCGTTTGGATGAAAGGCCTGTAATAAACTAATACTATTATGCTTAATGTACTTGCTGAAAGTAAATATATTTAGCGATTTATTATATATATGGCGATATATAATATTACTGCCATCACAAATATTATTGTATAATATTAATATGATGATATTGTGTTTGAATTTATTATATTTTATGGTATTTTCTGAAATAAATATATAGTTAATAATTCATTTGTTATTGTACTATGATGACTTTCTAAGCCTTCCTACGAAATTCTGGTATTAAAATTAAAATATGAAATGAAAATAATTAAATATTAATGCTATCGATTGAAATGATATGATAAACATAACAAATATTATCGTTATTACATTGATGTAATTGTATGACAAACTACTGCATACACACTTTGATAGAGTAAAAAATTCGAGAATATTTTTGATATTAATTAAAAATCTTATTATTGAATGCGATTATAATAAATATATAATTTCAATTTTAGTTAACAAATGTTACAATTCATAGATATTATTAAAGCAACCAATAAATGAGTCATTTAATATGCAGACTAAACAAAAACTATGAATTAGTTAGAGAATCAGAATTCAACTAATGCTTTAAAATGAACAAATTGTTGTAATAGTCATTATTGTGCGCAAAACTATGAAAAATGCTCCACAAATG